GCAGTTAGTTTATCCTCCACCACACCACAGCTGCTTTTGAAACGAGAACGTGCGAGAATGTGCGCTGCGGGCAGTGACGTGGGGGATGGGCGTCAGAAGCTCGTTCACGAACAAACTTCTGTTTTCATTGGCTGTTAATATTCGGGTAAGCCTGGATTTTTCTAAAGCCTGTAGTACCACCGGGAAAAGCAAGAGGACTCTTTTTTCCCCCCATAGCTTACCTRTCTAATATCAATCTGTCAGGAGATAGTGACAGAGTGAACAAATATGCTAAAAATATATTTTTGGAAAAGTTACATACTGCACCTTTAAAGAGAGCTGTCCATTCTCAGAAACCATCAAACCTGAGTGAACTAGAGGTGTTTTGTAAAGACGAATGGTCTAAAATACCTTCAGTCACAATCCAGACTCTCATTAGAAGCTGTAGGAAGTGTTTAGAAGCTGTTTTTTCTTTAAAAGGATTAGCTACTAAATATTGAGGTTAAGTTTTTTTTATGGTGCCCAAATTTATGCACCTGCCTAATTTTGTTTAAACAATTATTGCACACTTTCTGTAAATCATATAAACTTCATTTCACTTCTCGAATATCACTGTGTTTGTCCCCTATAGGATATATTTTACTGATATTTTTCAAACCAAACAAACAATCAATGATTTATAAAAGGTAAATCAGGAAATTAACAAGGGTGCCCAAACTTTTTTATATGACTGTATCTTTGGGTGAAGTGTTGGCAGAGGGAAAACTATTTTTTTTATATTTGGTGGTGATGGAAAAAAAAGACGTTTTTATTAGCCCTAATAAAAAGGCTAGATTCGAGTTTGCTACAAACATCTAAATAGCCAGCACAGCTTTGTAAGAATATTCTTTGGACAGATGAAACCAAGATCAACCTCTACCAGAATGATGGAAAGAGAAAAGTCTGGTGAAGGCCTGGTACCAAAGCATACCACATCATGTGTAAACCACAGCAGAGCAGTGTGATGCTTGGGCATGCATGGCTGCCAGTGGCACTGGGTCATTAGTGTTTATTGATGTGACACAGGACAGAAGCAGATGAATGAAATCTGAGGTATTCAGAGCCAGATTGTGTGCTCAAATCAGCCAAATGCAGCCAAACTGATTGGTCTGTTTCACACTACAGATGGACAATGACCCAAAACATAAATCCAAAGCAACCCAGGAGTTTATTAAAGCAAAGAAGTGGAATATTCTTGAACGGCCAAGTCAGTCACCTGATCTCAACCCAAATGAGCATTTCACTTGTTAAAGTGTATCTTACCCACCTGTGAAAGATAACTCCGCCCCAAGGCAAAATTTGAAAAATGCATCAAAGTGGGTAGGGGAGGGGGTGTGGGTGGGGAAG